TATCGACAGATATTTCACGTAATACGCAATCATTGTATCGATCGTGTCATTGCAACTTGATCATTTTGGACGCCACTCTGCCGAGAGCATAACTTTGTCTGCTTCCGACAACTTAAATTAAATATCAGTATTCACTTAATTCATCTCCATTAATGTGAAACAATAATATTAGAGTATAGATAGGAAAATTTCTGAAGCATTTTCCCGTACTCTGGTAAAACGTCTGGTACATAGAATTGTACCGTTCAGTTGCTTGGTTTGCTCACCTGTTTCGAGGAAAATACTGGTAAGCAGGCCATAACGTCCTACATCGAACTCTAACCAACCAACCACCCCTGATGAATATACTCAAGCCATGTACTCATGTACTATTATCAGGCACATTTACAGGCTGAAGCACAACAAATCAGACAGAAATGCATTCTTTTTTCAATATTTTAGTATTTGGAAGGCGAAATCGTGGCAGTACGGCCCAACTCATCAGTACACGGAGTAAAACTGGACTTTGCAGTGCCCTTTAATAAAGTACAAATACCTTCGACTACTTAGTATCTCAGAAGTAGGCACCAAATACCTCGTTGATTGCAGTGATGTGGTTGATGCACCAGACTGTGAATGACCACAAACTATTTGCAAGTAATATATGGTTCCTTACTTCTTTTTGGCACAAGATAACCTGGGAGGGTGCTGAAGGGTACTGGGTACGCATTGATGCTCACAACACCGTCCAGTATAACATGTCCCGTTAGCCAAAATGCAGAGGTGGGTGATTGGGTCCCCGTTGTCGCTGCCCCATAATTATGACTTAATTCTAGACCTCCGAACCCTAGGTTTCACATCTGCCCATTGATCTATAAGAACCGAATCTCCATACACAAACTATCTGCAGCCGGACTTGAAAAAGATGACTTCATTGGCGCGAGCTTGTTCCCGTATCACAGAACGCTACGTTCTCAGCCAACAAGGCCCACTTTACCTGAGGTATTTGAAGGTTCAATGAAGAAAAATATGCACGAGGCGATGACGGTCATTTTAAGTTACATATTTAATTTTCCAGTTCACTCGAGATTGTTGCACAACTTATAGCAGTTCACATGTTAAGAATGACTACCTACGAACACTTTAAGGCGATAGAACATCGAAGATCGAGGATGTTCCCCTTGCAGACCCTAAATCTTGTGCAGAGGTTTTTTAGTTTCTAGGATCTGGACTAACCTTCTAAGGCTCTAGGCACTCAATTTATTTTTCGGAATAGAGGAGCGTGAATAAGTAACTCTAATGAAGCAGTCTTGTAGTAACGGTATTTTTCGCAGCTTATTTCTCGGTCTGAGCCTCCTAAGCTAGCGTTCACGTCAAAACAACCACCACAGATGCACAAAGTATATTAAGGTCCAAAACTAAGTCAGGAACATTTGTACAGCGCTTCATGTATAAAGCATAGGCGGCAATAACTTTCTGGAAAATCTGACACGTTCTGGATCCGTCATTGGCAACCGGCATTCGGCTAATACTGGGTCATGATTGGCTTCTGGGTCCAGAATTTGGACCAATCAGATCTCGGCTTGATGTCAGACCGGCAGGCGTCTCTAAGTTTTGGAGAATCTTGTGTGGAATGGACTTCTCGGCCGTAGCAGCATCTGAGTGCGAGTGGTAAAGAGGGATCCGTGTGAAATTTCGCCTAATAAGTCCCGAAAGTCAAAGTGCTGTCGAAAATGGAGTCTAGCAATGTTTCAGGCTGCATGCACCGTTTCTTAGAGGGGACAAGCTTTGGGCCAGAATATGAGTTAAAACGTTCTCCTCGGGCAGATCAAACTCTTTCTCGAGTAAATAATAAACTATCAAAGTTGGGCATTTCAGCTTTTACAATTTTATAATTTACTGCTCTGTTTTGATTTTTTCAAGCAAGGCTGGCCAACCGCTAGAACAAACTGCCGGTGTGAGCAGTATATGCAAGCAATTAGACCACAATCAAGCGTTACCCAGAAAAGGTGTGGGTTTCCATTGTTCATCAGGTAGCTCCACTGCCTGGCAACTCTTCATGCTCGTATAACAGCGACTGTACGGGATGATGCTGGAGCAGTTGGAATGAAAGAGGCCCGCTTAAAGATCCAAAAAAGGAGAAGGAAAATAAGGAAATAGAGAAACCCACACTACGAATACAACTTTCACCCGGTAGGTCGTTACTCTGCGGAGCAGTCAGTAGCTTATTTGAATTTCGGAGTCGCGGCGTTTTATTCCGTCTAAGTAAGAGTTAAAACAAACCGCCGGTCGAACCACTTGTGGTCAAACGGTTTAGTCTTCAAATGTCAGCCGGGAGGTCGCCGATTGAAGCCACCCTGGGAATGTGTGAGATGTGCAATGTTGATGACTCCAATGAAGTAACTTTGCAGCGCTTCTCCGCTTTTCTGCACTGAATGACTTGACTTACAAAATAAAATCTTGTCAGAAAGGACGAAAATCTTATCAGGCCGTCGAAAACGCAGACAGATAAAAGGGGATGAAACAAGGCGATGGAAAGCGGTATAACAAACATATCCGTTACTGCATTGGCTGTCCAAGAGAAGATGTGAACCGTCATCATTTCGGCAACTGCCGAAATTATGAACTTGAGCAGTTTACTCAAAAAAACTTTCTCTTAACCTACAATTCAAGTGCTGTACAAATCACAGACCGATTCCCTTTCATGAACTTGCAGGCTTATTTTTTTCTCGCGGGTATTTCGTTTTGAGAGTTGTTTCCAATTGATATCGGCTTTGATGAATGGTCGGATTTGTATTCGGTGGAATGAATAGAATGCGTAGAACACTCATTCAGTAATGATGTTTGGAAGTTGTTTGGAAGAACCTGAAACCATTATCCAGCTAGAAGTGCGCCTCTTCAGTCCAGCCTTGCTCTGTTGGTTTTACCTCAGAATCTGCCAACAGAAGATTACAGTAAGCTTTCGAAACCTTGATCGGACAGCTTGCACTCGGTTGTGAGGTGTTAAATGAGAGTTTTCTACGTGATTTTTCGATTGCAAATAGGTGACGCTACATACAGTGTGATGGTGAAAAACAGAGAAGACCTCTGCAAGCGGATTCAGAAATTCGTGACTTTTTGATGATTACAAAATCCGGCTGCAAAGATTGTTAATGAATTACCACTTTGTAGTCATATAATGAGAGACGTTATCGAACAAGTTTCCATTCGGTAATCAACATAGCAATTACAGGATCTTGGATCGGTTCAGAAGCCAGCTTGAAAACTTCTCAACTGGAGTTTAGGTCTAGGAATCTGCGTGATTTCAACACGAGTAAAACATATAAACAAACTAATTACTCTGGTTATCTACTCAGACATCTTGGAAACATGGATCGCTAGAAGTTGCAACCTTTCGTCCCCATTCGAGGAGAGTGGTGCCGTCAGTGGGTGGCTGAGCGAGTAACTTTCTTACACCCCCCTACCACGCAATGATGGTGCTTCCTCGAGATATCGCCAAACACTGGAAAAGCGAAGCGCCAAGCTTGGCAGACATATCAACTGTCACCTGATTAAAGGCCAGTGTAAACATCCAAACTTTCGGTATAGTATCGGCTCACTTGGCTGTTTACCAACTCAGCTGACCAGCTGACTACTAGTGAGTAGTCTGTAGCAACACACCTTGGTAGTCATAGTGAAGAGTGGAGCCATCATGAAGCTGGATTTTTCAGGCAGAGAACACTGTTCTGACAACTCATCTCAAAACAGTTAAGAATAAAGGTTATATATCTTGTACCGTGCACAAACCACACCCCTCTCTTTGCGATTTGTTTCACCGATAATCGCGTTAATCTTGACCAATTTTAGTAAATCACCTATCAGACGGCAATGAGGATGACATTAGTAAGCCCGCTTCTTTACGCCTTCTAAACTGAGTTCATGTTTTTGCTTCCGCATAAGCGTTGGTATGGTACACGTTGGCGAGCGATCATTGGTGGGGCTCATCATCCCCGTAGCCGCTTTACTCCTACTTTACAAGCATAACATCACGACCTCTAATCAGCGTGATCTAACGACTGCGATCAGTCATTCCTTTTTGTCATCTTTGCTGACAGTTTCCTCATGGTATGTACATCCTAAACCGCGCTTTTAAGGCATGTCATTCAGGAGCCACTTAAGCGCCTCTGCTCATCAGACCACACCCTTGATTAGAGAGTGACATAGAGACTTTTGCGTGCCTGATGTACATACGTTTAACATATTCATACTTGAAGAAACCTGTGTGTGTTGTCCTCATGGTTTTGAACATACAAATCCAACGCACCGCACTGCGAACGTTTTGCTTGCCTATTCTGCTGTGCTCATTCGTGGTCGGTTGATGTGATTAACGTGGGTAACGTGCCTTTTTTTGCATTTCATTCTCCACATGCTGGTTGCTACTGCACTCATGCACTACACTTGTGCCGTTTTCAGATTTGAATATGACGGTCGAAAGTTCGGATGTTTCGGATTGAATCGCGCGCGCGCGCACGCGTGCATGCACACACACACACAGAGTCTTTCTTCAGGGGTCATTTAAGTTGCCAAGAGACCCCGTCTTCCATTTACTGCACACATCTGTGTACTAAACGTATAGTGAAACTATGGATTATATTCTCACATGTACAGTCACACTTTTTACTAAATCACCAGATGTTCAGTTTATTATCAAATAAATTTCTAATTTTCTGAGTTCACGTTTACACCCAGGGCGGTGGAATTCCGGAGAAACGTGGTATGTTTGAAACTGGTATTATCCCCACCATCTTACTATCATTTTACTCTGCATCGTCTGATGCGTCCAGGATTTGAGAGGTCTTACAAACACCATGGATAAATACGGTCAGAGAAGACTTACCATACAGTCGTGAGCATGGCGAGTCAGCCAGTTGCCATTACACTCTCATGAAGAGATGAAATCATCGTATGAGAGGGATTGGGGGCGAGATGGCCCAGGTGGTTAGAGCCTCTGCCTCTCGACTGCCCCTGTCTCCCCTGTCTAGGTTTGAGCAACCTGGCAGTATCCCAGCCCTCGTGCTTCCTTCGGGTGGCATGGCAGCTAGGCACCCAAAGGGTGCTACAGCTAGACGATTTTTTTATGAAAGGGATTCACAATGAGAAGGTCACTATTCATGTCGCGAGGATTAGTAGACCCTCTGTCATGATGAGCGGGGATATTTGATTTGCTCTGCGACTTGTTTATCCGGACAGAATACACAATTCTGTGATTTAAACTCAACTTTGACTGGGTTGACCTCTTTGAGTTAATCATGAAATGTATCCCCTGAAGTGATATGTGGCCTTTCTGAATGTGATTACCCGCTTGCACCAATGGTCTGATATGTACGAATACCAGTTGAAATTTCTGTGCGTCACCAACTACAGGGGTTGTCCGATTGCTTCTATGCAAATTATCGATAAGCGGTAATGAGGCTTCATATGCGCACTCGCACGTTGTTCGTCCGAGTATCCTCTGGTCACGTGAGCATTCCTCAAGCGGTTCGTACAGAAAAGTTTGCGTGCTCCCACTTAACCAGTCTAACCACAGCCGTATGAGAATTTGAAACTTGCGGGATCAGTTCAGTATACACACGTGAAGGCACAGTTAACAACGCAACTACTTTCTTGCAACAGTTACAATGAGATATTCGGTACATTTTTAGGACTGCAATCCCAGATTTCTCAGTCTCCCAAAGTTGCTTTAGAATTATTCATTGATAAAAGAATGATCCACTTCCTGGATATCAACTCGATTTTGCGAGTGAAACGTGCTCATCTTCTCCTTACCAAACAGCAATATCCAGCAGGTTTTTTACACAGAGTTGAAGAATATCTGATTTGATACATTTAATAGAACGGAAACAATCGAATTGGAATAAAAAACCCTACTTTTTCAACACTTTGAAAACCGGTTGAATGTTAGTAAGAATAAAGTGTCTCCTTCGCTCAGTCATCACGGGAGCCACGCAGTCTGGTTTTATTGTTTTGTGACAGTGGGCTTTCCTAAAGCATATTTTTTATCTTGATAAAACGGTCTATCTATCGTAGGTTATTGTTCACTCAAATTCACTCACAGACTGGACTGGGTTATGCATGAGTAGGTCGTACACAAAGGTGGCCGATCGCTAACAAAAAAAACACAAACTACTAAAAAAGCGTCATTGTACTTCCGAGAAAAAATCATTTAGTTTTAAATTGTTTAGTGATATATTTATTGCCTAATTTTACGAGGACATGTAGAGAGGACGGCGCATAACATAACTCTTTTTCTAGACAAAAAAGTACGGGGTTCATACTAAATAGAAGCTAAAGTTATCCCTTCACACAGATACAACTTCGGCTTTGACGCCGTGCTCACAGTTCGTTAATTGTGCTGCTTATATTAAAAACAGTAAACTTCGAGTCTGTCAGCTGTTATGGGAAGGTCCACTGTATATAAGAAATGGGCAAAATAAATTGAACAAATCCCTAACCAAGACTGCTCTGTCAGGGAACATTCCGTTGACCCCTTCAGAAGTTTTGCCTGCTACTGATTTCCAGGGATTGAGCGAGTACTTAGGTAAGCAAGCAAGTAGACAAGTACGTAAGTAAGTGAGAGATTAAGTAAGGAAATAAGTAAGTAGGTAACTAAGCAAGTTAGTAAAAAATCAGTGAGTGCTTCAGTCTATAAGTAGTGTATCGTTTTGGTCACAAGCTTTCGAAAGCTATCTGGAACTAAACTCCCAATTAGATTCCAGAATACTGCTCAGTGTTACAGCGTGAAACCAACCAAATGGTTGATTTACTCTCAGTTCTTTGTGAAAATGCGCCAAAAGGCTTGATGTTTGGCCATTAAAAGGCGAATAAACCACATTCTGCGTGGATGAAGATCCTCTGAGATAAACCCGTTTTAGAGACGTCAGCAGTATAGAATTAGCTCTCAGACGGACGGTTCTACCAAGTTGGTTTTTTTACTTAAGGGACACAAAAACAACCTCTGTGAGACATGAGCTGCTGTAAACGTCGTCTGAATAGAGAACGTCCTTCAAAGGATGCGGAACACTCTTTTCTTTGAACTTCGGTTGGTTTTAAACTTATGGTAAGCCAAGAGAATTGACGAATCTGCTCCATAGCGATTCTGTAAGCCTTCTTACTTTTCAACCTTTCATTTGGATATTTACAAAAATCTCTATCTTACGTTTTGTCCAGGGCTTCTGACGATTGAGAGGACACTACACGCAAACAGATTGTGTGGTCTCTCCTCGGGGTACTCACATTCCGGAGGCGGACTTGTACACCAAATCGCGGCTGGAAAAGAAAATTTCGTTTCGGTATAGTAATCGTTTTAAAACACCGCAAAGGACTGAGCAGAGTAGCGGGATAATGGGCATTATCAAGTTCAGAAAAAAACCGATGCCTACAGGCGTGCAGTCAACCTTCAAGGGGTTGTCTGGTTGGTCAGCTTGCGTCAGTCACGTGCGTGTGTTCACGAGAAATCAATACATATCGGATTGACCCTCCTTTGAATTAAAACAAGCAAGTAGACATCCAAAGGGTGTCCCTCAGGATGCATGTGAATTGACTGAGACAATGTGGGTGTCACTGCGAACCAAACGTCAGTCTGATCACCTGGGATGATTAGGTCTCCGTAGTGTACTAACGGTCTCCTAATGGTGTTGTAAATTTTGAAGTACGCTTACTTTGAATCCTGATTAAAATGCTCCTAAATCTGCTTTTTCGGTGACCAGTTAACAATAATAAAAACTAATAATAGTAGCTAGTAACCGAAATAATAAATTATTAAATAAATCAATGAATAAAATAATGCACACGCTGCATTCCATCTTATTCACCCTGAATACGATGCGGATATTCTGGGAGTCTGTAAAAATCTTTTGTAAATTAACCTACCATAAATCGAAGAATTCAACTGGAATTCATGTGGGTTGCCCTCTGAAACAAAATTATTTTGCAGGTATGCGTATGTGTACAAATACATTCATTTGCACATCAACTTGGTTTTCACAGGTGACTTACATGAATCTCAGCTGACTCTCCTGGTTGTCCTCAACTGAATATAAAGGCCGCATTATGATTTAGTTGTGCGATATTCGAGATATCCAAGTGTATTTCCATGATGGTAAAAACTCATAACTTCGCTGCCAATTTGTTCAAAAGCCCACTACTGGTTTCCACTTTTATATTCGTACTCATGAGATCTTTACGAGTTTGGGGGTGAAAACGGCGGTTCCGCTCTGAATTTCGCTGGGTGCAAAAGCATGGTCTGTTTACTCTCTTCGCCTCTCTGTGTGACTGCGGTTAACGTGTACAAATACATTCATTTGCACATCAACTTGGTTTTCACAGGTGACTTACATGAATCTCAGCTGACTCTCCTGGTTGTCCTCAACTGAATATAAAGGCCGCATTATGATTTAGTTGTGCGATATTCGAGATATCCAAGTGTATTTCCATGATGGTAAAAACTCATAACTTCGCTGCCAATTTGTTCAAAAGCCCACTACTGGTTTCCACTTTTATATTCGTACTCATGAGATCTTTACGAGTTTGGGGGTGAAAACGGCGGTTCCGCTCTGAATTTCGCTGGGTGCAAAAGCATGGTCTGTTTACTCTCTTCGCCTCTCTGTGTGACAAGTTGCGGTTAACTAAAATTCGGGTGGTGAGCACGTGATCGAAAGAGTATCGCGGGATTGTTTAGGTGTTCAAAACAAGATGGGCTCCTAAAGTGATTGTCAAACACAATAGGAACTCGCTGCGATGATTTAAACTCAAGCATTCGAATGTGTTGGAAATTTCCGGGACAAAACTGGCCTGTGGTGTTTGGTTTTTCATCGGAGATAGAGTTACACTAATTATCATGTGTTTGGAGGTGTACAGAGTGAGAAAAGATAGCCTATTTTATGTAACCTTATTTACAGGACACAGAAATTAGATCACTCATCACCACCGATGGAATAACCGCAGTGCAATGCTTACTGATTTCGCCTGAGGAAATTAAGTCTTATGTATCAATCAAACATTTTCCGTCCACTTTACTAGACGCGGAGCGCACACAGGTGCGCAACAAGGGACCGATAGTCAACGTGAGTGGTTTATCAAAATGATCTGAATCGTTCCTCGTCAGTGCATGCAAAAATTGCGCGCGAACAACGATTATACTGAATCGACAAAGGCAACCCGAGCATTCGACATTCAAGAGGCAGCTCTATTCTTGCTAACTTCGGAGATTGGTAAACGAGTGAATCTAACTGAAAGAAGTTACCCACAGTTGTCTTGAAACACTGCAGGGGTCTGTTTGGACAGTCGTCTGGTGCGAATCATATTATGGCAAACAAAACAACAATTAAAGACTGTTCATACTCATTTGGTCTTGTTTGACAAGCTAAGCGGGTCAAGATTTTTTTTCAACATTTTGTTCAACACCTCAGAATTTGATCGACATTTCTAACACAATCGTTTCTGACACTAAAAATATCGCTCAACCATGGCACCCTTTCGGTGCCTAACTGCCATGCCACCAGAAGGAAGTACGAGGGCTGGGATACTGCCAGGTTGCCCAAGACTAGACGGGGCAAGTCGAGAGGCAGATGTCGGTTTCGAACCGTGGACATCCCGGTCAGTAAATTCACTCCATAACCACTGAGCCATACATCTGTGGAGCGACGACGAATATTAATGGGGTTGATTCTTTTCAGAAGAGCTTGATAAACAATCGGTGTCATCTACATAACGCCAGAATATCTTTGGTGGGTATGGGAATCCGGCTAAAGCTCTCTGTTCAAATACTTCCATAAATATATTTGCCAAAACCGGGGATATTGGAGATCCCATTGTTAGACATTGTTCTTGAGTATAAACCACTGAGTCAAAGACGAAGTGAGTGAGATTCAGACATGTTTTTATGCCTTCCTTTATGGAAGAATTTGAACAGAGGGCTTTAGCCGGATTATCATACCCACCAAAGATATTCTGGCGTTATATAGATGACACTTTTGTCGTGATGAAACGGGATAAGGTTAGTCAGTTTTACAACTATCTCAATGATCTGAGTCCACACATCAAATTTGGTATGGAGATAGAGTTAACCTCGGTTAAACTGGTTTTTTTAGACTGCATGACACATAAGGTCGGGGGAAAACTAAAGACCACAGTGTACGAGAAGCCCACCGACACTGGGGGAGTTTTAAACTACTCGTATGCCCATCCAAAGTCGGTTTTCGCCAGTACTGCCTCATTAATGTTTAGGCGTGTAAGGGCCCTGTGCACAGAAGAAGCTGATTGGACAGCGGCCCAAATTGAGGTAAAGAACAAACTTCGGGGTAGTGGATGTCGAGCAAGCTTGATTAGGCGTTAACTGCGAAGGGTGTTGGTACCGGTAGCGAAACCCAACAGGGAATGCATCGGGACAGCCTTTATTCCATATAAACCAGGGACAGTGGATGTAAGTCGAAGAATTCTAAACACGGCCAACATTAGAGTAGCTTTCCAGAGGGGGAACACTCTGCGTTCTGCACTGGTGCAATTGAAGGATCGCCTCCCGGCAAACAGAACCAGGGACTGTGTCTACGAAATCAAGTGTAATGACTGCACTAAGGTCTATATAGGACAGACGGCCAGGGAACTACACACCAGAGTCGGAGAGCATAGTAGAAAAATAAACAGGCTGCCGAGAAAAGCAGATGAATATCAAGCGTCAATGAAAGACTCAGCGATTGCGGAACACGCACTCGACACGGGACACAAATTAGATTTAGGAAATGTTGAGGCTTTGAGGCGAGGACTAAGGTACACGTCACACAGACTGATCGCCGAGACGGTAGAAATTACCAAGCATCCCAGTGTTAACAGAATAGAAGGTGTGGAACTGGCAAGCTTGTTGAAAACGGTTCTGGATCAGTCGAGCTGACACGTGTTGGTGTGCGGTCATCAGAATGAAGAGTGGTCATCATCTGGATTCCACTTGACCTCAAGCCCTCCAACTAAATTATCGGAGCACTCAAGACCCCAAAAAAACCAGGGAAAATCTACCAGTGGCAACCGAAATGAATCATCAAGTGAAACACCCTGAAGTGGAAGATTAACGACCAAAAAACCGATCGGAATTAATTTGGACCCCCTCCCCAATCCACCAAACCAAGATTTTGGCAAATTGACTAACCGACAAGAGCCGTAATTGACACTCAACACTGATCTAGTGTGATAATCTGAAGAGGACTGACTCACTGAATGGTCCCCCGTCTGCCTTATAACCTGGCCAATTTGGTGACCTGCTCACTTGGCCTGATGAAGCTTTTGTGTCAAAAGCGAAACATTGCCCAAATAAAAACTACCTATTGTTTATCAAGCTCTCCTGAAACGTTGACTTCTCAACCGGTTCAAAACCTTTCCAAGGGGTTGATTCTTGTTCACGCACAACTGGTTGTGCTCGCCTGCTTATCATTCCAGTGACGACAAAGCCAGGCAATTCTTCTTTATCAGATATACCTCTCATGATCATCTTCTGGCCAAAAAAACCTGAGTATGGAGGCTAATATTGCAAGGATAATATGGAGCGTGCCTTAGTGGACAGTTTAACCTATCCGTGAGCACGATTCGTTCCGGTAAGAGAAGGCCTTTTCTTGTGTCGAGCAGGAAGCGCACAGCAGTTTTTCTAACCTATCAGGTGCCTCAGGGACAAGTATCTGAGATTGCACCTTCGCTGTGGTATTTTCAGCCATCATAATGTCGGATCAGTGCGAGAAAATGGACAGATTAGGATACACTCGGGGGTAAACTGTTCATCCTCGAAATATTGGTGCCTTTGTTTATTGACAGGGACATCATTGCTTCCAACTTTAGTTGGGTGTTTTGGCAAAACCCTCTTAAAATCATCAAATCTGTTGATAAAAACATTCATGCTGAGAAGGCAATTTAAAAAACCTGACCTTGTTCCAGTGGCATTCTCATCTTGAAGAAACGAAACTCCATGAGTACTTATTTGACTTCCAGGAGGAGACGACAGACTAAAAATGCCACAAAACACAGATCTGGATAAACATGTTTTGTGTCCCCTTGGACCATCGATGTACACAGTCACAGGTGATTGGCAGTCGAAAGCTTCATCGAGGAGGCGAGCTGAAACTTCATGACGAAACGCGTGTAACGTTCCTGTAAACCAGAGTAACTCGCTGTTCATCGGGTTACAAATAACGGGGCGCCATATTAGAAAACATGAATGAGATGAACTAAATGGTTTACTTGTCTATCTACGGGTTAACAAGCAAACACTAGTGAAAATGATCTGTGCGGCCAGAGAATAATAAACAGATTCGGCGTTTGGGACCTCCAGAAATGTCCATGGCACACACCCATCTTCAAAATGGTTCTGAGTAAATTGATAACCGGGAAATCTGGAATTTTGGAATAGTTGAAGTTGAAGAACCAAAATAATTTTTCCCAGATTTAGCAGTGGAACGTCGAATGTCGGTTATGATTGACGCCCAAATTTCACTAGCTTAAGTCTGGTTTAAGACATGTGGATGACTCAGTTTTATGAGTCAGTTCTGTGACTGTTTTTTTTAATTTAGGGTACAACTTCAGCTTGGAGTTCTTTACCTGTCACAGGTGATAGCCAACTGGATTCAGAAATTTATCTAGCTTCAAATAGCAACTCAGGCAAGATGGTGATAAGTAATATTAATAGCAAATCATGAACGATATATCTAGCATTTTTCATCATATGTGGTCTTCAGTCACATTCAGACAGTGATGTCAGGGCGAGACTATTGAGCAAGATTGAACAAACTCCCGAGATAACGCTGCAGTCTGTTACCCATGAGTGCCAGCGCCTTTTAAATCTTAAGCACGACACGGCCATGTTGGAGAAGCCCTTATCCAACCTTGCTTTCATCATTGCCAAAACGACATCAAGCAACCTCCTGTGGTGACAAAGTCACAAGGAGCAAAGCCTCCTTCAGCATGCTGGCAATGCGGTGAATGGCATCTTGTGCGGTTGTGTCTGTACAAGAAGCACAAATGTTCAGTGTGCAGTCGACGTGGGCACAAGGAAAGCCAGTGCCGGACGCGGAAAGCTAGCCAAAGACGCAGTCAACCCCGGAGGTCACGAAGCAAACGGAGCGAATCAGAACCCCGTTCTAATGCAATACTTGCAACATTCGATTACCAGATCGATGCTCGTCGCAAGTACGTCACAAGCAGAGCGGCAAATCATGGACGATAAATCTAGTCATTTTCATCAGCCAAACTGATGTCAGGACCTTGTATTGATTTTCCTCCAGTAAGTACTGAAAAAGAGACACAGTGGTTGAAACGTGTGCCTAGTTTACGTGTACCGACGAATAAGATGGGTACATTTTTGTCTCCGGTTTCTTTTAATACCACTAAATAATCGCTCACTCATTTTTTTTGTTTGTACGATGATGTTCCTTTAAAATGGTTACTAGGGGAGTCCACCTTCTAGAATCTTAAATTCTGAGAGGAAGATAACCAGTGAAACAAGCTTGCTTTAAAAAAGGATCCGCCAATGTGGTGGTGGGTGTCTTGCACCAAAAAGAGTACAGCCGTAAAAAAGTCGTTCGGTGCCTAGCTGCTATGCTACACAAAAGAGGCACGAGGGCTATGATATCGCTAGGTCGCCCAAGGCGAGGCAAGAAAGTCGAGAGGCAGAGGTCGGGTTCGAACCACGGACCTCCCGGTCGATAAATCCGCGCTCTAATCACTTGCTAAACTTGGTACAGCCGTATTTTGTGCCGATCCCCTTTTCTCTATTCTCCCTAAATAGTAATCATGGCATTGTGTAATACAACTCAAAATCATGGTAGGCTGCTAGAAGAATTATGCAGTGAGCAATTGTGAAAAGAACGGAGGAAGAACCCTGAATAGATGCGGAGAAATCTTCCAGAGAGATACCGAACCGTGATCACTCTTAGAAAGTATTAAGAAGTTTAGACACTTCCAAATCAAGTGAATCTCTCGTTTATGATATTCTACAACTAATTTGCTGCACACAGGCCGCCTCATATATCAGTTGGCACGGTAGTCGAGATATCGCAGTGTATTTTCATAAAGAAAACTACTCCCAAGGTTGCTGAAAACGCTTTGACAGCCCACGACCGGCTTGGCCCTTCTTGTGGCTCATCAGGCGCAGTCCCCGAGTTTCCGTCAATCTCATGTTCTACTTGAACCCGAATCGGACTGTTTTCGAGAAATACACTCATTTGCAAATTGAAGAGTATGAGTATATACTGCGATATCTCGAATATCGTGCCAACTGAATCATGAGGTGGCCTGTATGCAGCACATTCAGTTGTAGAATATCATAAACGAGAGATTCAGTTGGGTCTCTCATGAGAACCAAATTGATTTACAAATGAATGTGTTTCTCGAAAGCAGTCCGATTCGGGTTCAAGTAGGACATAAAATTGACGGAAACTCGGGAACTGCACCTACCTGATAAGCCCCAAGAAGAACGGAACTGGTGGGCAGTCGAAGAGTCTTCAGCAATCTT